CAGTACATTAAAAGGATTATTCACCACGACCAAGTGGGATTTATCCCTGGGCTGCAAGGTTGGTTCAATATCTGCAGATCAATCAATGTGATACAATACATTAACAAAAGAAAGAACAAGAACCATATGATCCTCTCAATAGATGCAGAAAAAGCATTTGACAAAGTACAGCATCCTTTCTTGATCAAAACTCTTCAGAGTATAGGGATAGAGGGTACATACCTCAAGATCATAAAAGCCATCTATGAAAAACCCACAGCGAATATCATTCTCAATGGGGAAAAACTGAGAGCTTTCCCCCTAAGGTCAGGAACACAGCAGGGATGTCCACTATCACCACTGTTATTCAATATAGTATTGGAAGTCCTAGCCACAGCAATCAGACAACAAAAAGAAATCAAAGGCATCCAAATCGGCAAAGAAGAAGTCAAACTCTCACTCTTTGCAGATGATATGATACTTTATGTGGAAAACCCAAAAGACTCCACCCCAAAACTGCTAGAACTCATACAGGAATTCAGTAAAGTGGCAGGATATAAAATCAATGCACAGAAATCAGTGGCATTCCTATACACCAACAACAAGACAGAAGAAAGAGAAATTAAGGAGTCGATCCCTTTTACAATTGCACCCAAAACCATAAGATACCTGGGAATAAATCTAACCAAAGAGGCAAAGGATCTGTACTCAGAAAACTATAGAATACTCATGAAAGAAATTGAGGAAGACACAAAGAAATGGAAAAACGTTCCATGCTCATGGATTGGAAGAACAAATATTGTGAAGATGTCAATGCTACCTAGAGCAATCTACACATTCAATGCAATCCCCATCAAAATACCATCCACTTTTTAAAAAAAAATAGCATTGAATGTTTTTATAAGCAATTACTATAGTTTCCAAAACAGAAAGTGAAAGAGTAGCTTTTTTTTTTCACAATTTTGCAAATCCCTTTAATGTCTATCTTAATAGAAGGCAGCTAGATTCTCATACCTGCTCCTATATTCAATCTGTTGCAATATCTCATATCATGAGATTAAAAAAGACAAATTCTTCTTGTTCAAATAAGAAGATCCACAAAATACCTATACTTAACATTATACTTAATGGTTAAACACCAAATACTTCCCCCTTAAGATTAGGAACAAGGAAAACCTCCACTCATACCTTTCTTATTCAACATAGTACTGGAAGTGCTAACCAGCACTATAAAGAAAGAAAAAGCAATAAAAGGCATACAGATTGGAAAGCAAAAAATAAAACTATTCATATTTGCAGATGACATAATTGTCTACATAGAAAATCCCAAGGAATCTACAAGCCAAAACCAAAACCAACCAACCAACCAAATAAATAAAAACCCTCAAAATTGCTAGAACAAATAAGTGAGTTCAACAAGGTCATAGGATGCAAGATTTACACTTTAACACACTATATTTCTATGTTCTAGCAATAAAAATGTGGACATAAAAATTAAAAATACAATATGATTTATAGTCACTCAAAAAATGAAATACTTGGGTGTGAATCTAACAAAACATATTAATACAGAACTTGTGGGCTCAAAATTAAAATGTAATGAAAGAAAGAAAATGACATAAATAAGTGTTCATGAATTGGAAGACTCAACATAATAAAGATATCAATTCTCCCCAAATTGATGTAACACAATTCCTACCAAGATACCAGCAAGATTTTTTCCAGATATAGACAAAATTATTCCAAAATTCATATGGAACTGAAAAAGACTTACAATAGCTAAAAATTTTGAAACAGAAGAAAAAGGTGAGAAGAATCTTACTGTATAGGTTCAGTAATCAAGATTGTGTGGTATTGGCAGAGGAGAGATTATTGGAACAGAATAGAGAACCTAGAAATAGGCCCACACAAATATGCCCAAGTGACATTGGACAAAGGTGCAAAAGCAATTCAATGAAGAAAGGATAGCTCGTTTGACAAATGTGCTAGACATCCAAAGGCAAAAAAAAAAAAAAAAAAAAATTTGAACCTCAGTCTGAACCTTACACCTTATACCTCAACTAAGTTAAATTGAATCATGAAGTTAAATGTCAAATTATAAAAATTTTAGGGAAACATATAAGAGATAATCTTCAAGGTTTAGGGCTAGGCCAATAGTCCTTAGACTTAACATCAAAAACACAACCCATAAAAGAAATAATAATAAACTCAACTTCATCAAAATAAAAACTTTTGCTCTGTGAAAGAACCTGTTAAGAGGATGAAAAGGCAAACTACATAGTTGGAGGAAATATTTGCAAGTGACGTATCTAATAAAAGACTCTGTCTAGACTTCATGAAGAATGCTCAAAATTCAGTTAGAAAATGTGCAAAAGACATGAAGAGACACACTTCACCGAAGAGAATATGCAAGTGGCAAATAAGCACATGAAAAGTGGATTCAATCTCATTATCTATCAGGGAAATGCAAATTTAAGCTGTGATGAGCCATCGCTATACAGTTATCAGAGTGGCTAAGATAAAAAATAGTGACACCACCAAATTCTGGCAAAGATGTGGAGAAACTGGTTCACTTACTTGCATATTGTTGGTAGGAATGCATAATGGTCTGGTCACTCTGGTAAACAGTTTAACAGTTTCTTAAAATCGAAACGTGGCTACCATATGACTGAACAATGGCACTCTTGGACATTTATCTCAGCGCAGTGAAGGCAAGTTCACACAAAAGCTTGCATACAAATGTTTATAGTAACTTTGTTCATAATAGCCAAAAACTGAATCCGCTCTGATGTCCTTCAACAAGTGAATGGCTATACATACTGTGATGCATCCATACCATGGAATGTCAGGACAAACCAATAATTTCTGTGGATATCCAAATACGAAAAGATTACATATTGTATGATTCAATTTGTACAGCATACTTTAAACGTCAAAATTATAGAAATAGAAAACTGATTATTGGTTGCCAGTTAAAGACAGCAGGCAAATTAGAAGAGGGAAGTCATTACTGCTATTAAAGAGTGACAGGAAGAATCCTCCTTGTGACAGAGTTGTTCTGTATCTTGACTGTATCAGTGTCAGTATCCTTGTGATATTGAACTACAGTTTTGAAGATGTTACTTTTGGGTAAAGGGTACATGAGATCTCTGTATTATTTCTTTTAACTGCATTTGAAGCTATAATTATCTGTCAAAATAAAATAAAATAAAATAAAAACAAGATTATCTATCTATCTATCTATCTATCTATCTATCTATCTATCTATCTATAATATATCAAAGCTTTTTTTGCAAATTGGAGGTAATTTCACTGGCTTTGGAGGGGTGGTATCTATAATGCATCAAACTATTTAAAATTAGTTTAACTTTTAATTTTTAAAAATCTGAAGACATTGTGACTAGTACTGTTCTAAGAGTTTAAATAAACACTTTTCATAATGATGGAAGAGTACTTCCTGGGAGCTTTCAGAATTTTCTTCTAAATATGATTTACCTAGGATAATTTAAGCAGTGTATTCTTACTATTCTGAAGATATAACAGTGAGTTCTTCAAAACTTTGCAGAGCTCATGAACACTAAAAATTTGTTGCTAAGAGAAGCTGCTCACTTTCAGCTGTGTTTTCATTGTCTTGAAAGACTTATTTAAGAGTTCTTGTTTTCGTTGATAGTGGAAGGGAATGTAAAGGAATAAATAATCTAAATGAATGTACTGAGAAATGGTGTTTTGATATCTATAGCCTAATTTTCTTTCAAATGATCAGAGTTTTATATCTTAAATGGGGTCAACATCAAGAAAGTTTTATGCTCATGTCTCTCCCCTACCCCCAAATTCATATGTTGAAATCCCAACTTGCAATGTATTGGTAATATATGATGAAGCCTGGTGAAGGTACTTAGGTCATAAGGGTGGAGCCCTCATGAATGGAATTCCACGAATGGAATTAGTGACCTTAGACATAGGAAAGATGATCTCTGCTCTTTGCCAGGTGAGGATACAATGAAAAGACAGCTGCCTACAAATCCAGAAGAGTGTTCTCACTCACACTAGATATCCTGGCACCTTGATCTTGGATTTCCCAGACTTCAGAACTGTAAAAAATAAATATTTATTATTTAAGGCATCCAGTTTATGGTATTTTGTTATAGCAGCTGAAGCAGACTAAAACAGCTGTTATTATAATACTTTAAGAATTTATAAGGATGAATATATGAAAGGGTGAAAAATTAGAGATACCATAGAAACCCATTTTGCAGAGCCCAGGTCCACTTGGCATGTTGCTACACAGCAAGAACACCTTGGGCTGAGTGGACCTGTCCACTGCATGTCTTCCCAAACAACATGACATGAAATGATTACCTTTAGCATCTCAGTATCTGCTGTGGGAGTTTGGAAGGTAGTTAAGAGGGTAAAAGGACTGATTATTTTCCAAAGGGCCTTGAGATTGGGAGGAAAAAAATATGATAGATTTTTCAGGGGGTCCTTTAGTTAAGCTGTTGAATCTATAAACCTCTTGAGCATGGGAAAACATGATGCTTGTTCTTATCTGCCTCTGTAGATGCCCCAATTAGAGTTAATTGGAATGACATTGTTTTCATAAAAATACTAAGAGCTGTGTATCAGTTTTAAGCAAATATAAAAAGTTATTTATGCCAAGAACAACAATATAGACATTAGCATATTATAAAAATAATACTTCCTCAGCAATCACAGAGTTTAATCTCCTCATTTTGTCCATGGAGGAAATTAAGATTCTGTAAACTAAATGGATTTATTCAAGTCCAAAAACTAATTAGTGGCAGAGCAAGCTCTAGACTTCTAGGTCTTTGACTTGAGGTCTTTGACTTTAAGTTCATTGGTTGTTAATTGTGCTAGTTTATTAACAAAGGGATATATTCTAGTTGCAAATCGTTTTTGTCCCTCCCTTCCAAAAAGCAGCTGAACAATATAAAATGCATAGTTCAATATTTTACAATGTTCATGGCAGATATTTAGAGTGGTCTAACTTTTGTATATTCCAGGTCCTGCCTAGTATTCTTCCTGTTTTCAAGAGACTGGAAAGCAAAACATTTCATTTCCAAGATTCCCTTGTGGGTACATTTCTGGATGTGTTTAGGTTCTGCCAATCACATGTATTCTGGTAAGCCTGGATTTGGGTCTGAGTTGTGAAGGGAGGAAAGCGAGGGCCAAGGCACCCATTTCCTGGCACGGTGGTGGTGGTGGGGGGCAGCTGGTTTCCGCAGTTGTAGCTTTGTGCTGTGCCATCCTGGGCCTCTTTCCTATTCACAGGCAGCGCAGCCCAATTATACATAATTAGAAATAAAAGTGTCAAAATGCAAATGCTGATTGAGTTGATGTGCAAAACTGATCAATAGTAAAGGGTAATTGGTTAATTAAATTAGAGTTAATGATAATTTCAGGACCCTTATTGTTTTAGTGATGGAACTGATTAACATTTCGAGAGGACCTACTATGAACCTGGCACAGGGCCTCATGTTTTTATGTACTCTATTTCATTTGGTGTCTCTACACCTCTAGTTCTATACAGTATTTTTATTCCCATTTTCCAGGTATAGAGACTGAGATTCAGAGAGATTAAAACACTTGCCCTGAGTCATGAACACAAGGCCTGGGACAGATGCTTCTCCCATCTCATAATTTTGAATTGGGTCTCGTATATTTGCATTTACATGGTTAGGGATAAATTGAAACTGTTGTTCAGATACGGTTTTCTCATGGGAAGGAAGGCAGGAAGTCCTGTTTTCCATGATTTATGGCTTTTTTCCCTTTTGGGTGGCTAACTTTTTTATAAAGGGTTTATTTATTTGGCCCAGAGGATTCATTAATAATAACCAACAAATAACAACAAACAGCATCTGTATCAGTTTACAGTGTATTTTCTTGCAGTGCGTTTTCTTATATATTGTTTGTCTTGTTTTATCTTCACAACTACCCAGCAGAGATAGGTACAATCCCTTTCTAATTTTAAGATCTAAATTGAGTCACAAAAGTAAAGTTATCGGCTCAAATCATGCAGTAAGTGGAGATTTTGGATCCCAAATGCCAGAATTTAGTCCCCAAACTTCACCAGAATCTATTATTGCTTATAAGAGATGAACACTGACCTGCAGATCCTCAGAGACATCCTGCGCCACACAAAGGACAAAGATTACAGGAAAAGAAAATGGTTCTGTTTAACACTTTATCTATTTCATTCCCATTAGCCATTTATATTATTGATTATAGTAGGCATTAACTGTTCATGTTTGTCTTCTCAATATTCTGTACAAAGTGGACTAAGAAGGCTAGCATTTCATCTTATTCACTTTAATACTTCCAGCACCTATCACAATGACTTGCATAAAGTAGGCATTCAGTATATGTTGATGAATGAGTGCAATAGATTATCTTTCAAAGCAGAATAAAAACAATGACTTTTTCACTCCAATGTTTTAGCTTATTTTTTTAATCACCGTAATAGATTTGGTGTATGCTGACCAGCATAATGTATAAGAAATATTGGTACTGAAATAGTGTGTTTTAGAAACATCCCATAATTACTACCAGCTAAATCTGGCCAAATATTTTACCAAATATCTTACTACTAATTAAAAAATCTTGATACAGAAGCACCATATCTAGAAGAGTACACTATTGTGATTTTGCCCTTCACACATCAAAATAAAACAAATCACATTGGATTACTAATTTCTTTTTTGTGCCGAAACCAAATGGCAGCTGTACCTGCCTTTGGGATCATGATAAATGAAGTTTCCCCAAAGTGAGATTTAATCCAGGCCTTGAGTCATATTACCAAGCTCTGGTCAATGAAAACAACCACTAAGAGAAGAATCCTGATTTATTTCTTCAATTTTCTCATGCAGACAGAGCATTTGTGGTCAGATGGCACTTAAATTGAATAAAAACATTCCGATTTTAAGTCTTTATTTTTCTGATCTTTGTATATGATGGAAGACTATTGCAAATCTGCTCTGGAAATCTCCCAGGTTTGAATGAATGTTTGCATTGCAGAATGTCCTAGCTTTTGTTGTGTGCCCTTAAGGTGGTAGTTACTGTATGAAGTTTGTTTTGTTTTTGTTTTTGTTTTTTTAACTGCAGGAAACATCTAGTTCTATTGAAAATGTCCATCTAGTTTTCAGGTCGTTTTGCAGCCCCCGGATACATAAATTCCTCAGAGTTGTTGACTCTGAGATACAGGTGTGGCCTATAGGATTTACAATGTGTGAAAAGCAGGAAGAAATAGAGCAGAAGTCTGATGACCCTGAACCATTCTAAATCACCTTGCTGACAGGAAATTTGGTTTTCTTGTCAATTGTCGTTGATCATACCAAATAATATTAGCCTCTGTTTGGAGATATTTAATTCAATGAATTCTGAATTAATTTGCATACATTGGATTTATTTAGGAATCAATAACTAGTAGTTACAGAGATAATGACCTCTGAAGGATCAGAAGAATTACATAGGATAAGAATATGAAATGAAAGTAGATTCATAATGGGTTAAGTCAGTGAACTTTCTATTTCATTTTAGCACTATTCACATTGTATTAAAGTTAACCATTTCTTTGATTTATCCACTAGATACTATTCATTAATGTTAGAGGCTGAATTTTATTTACCTTTGTAAAATCAGAATGTTACCTGTGTAATCTCACACCATTATCAAGCCAGTGCATCATACATAACAGATATTCAGTAAATAGTTAACTCCTCAAATATTCTCTCCATATGTTATATAAATACTTCCCTTTAGTTGTATTCTATGATGAACACATATATTTGAAGTAGTTCTTTTGAGATTAATGCTACTAAAATTTTGAATGTTTTCTTGTCATGTTCAGAGAGTTAGAACTTTGCGTAAATTATGCAAATAACTTAATTTTGTGCATTATAATTTTTACAACTTGCACAGAAATGTAATGTATGTTTTTTTTCCTCCAAACAATACTGTGAAGTAGAAACATTAGGCATATTGTTATTATTATTATTATTTTTAAAAAATTAACTACTTTATAAAAGAGACAGGCAAATTTTATAAAAGTCAAGTGATTTAACTTTTTTACCTAATAGGTATTGGACAAAGTGTTGGAACATAGATTTTTTAAATTTCCAACATTCTGATTTTTTTCCCACTATATGCTATTTTTAATTTTAACCTGTATCGTTTGAAGTTAAAATGTGTTCACTTGAAGTAGTTGGTAGTTAAACTTAGAAAATTAGGTGTTCTTTCTGGTTTATTCCATAAATTTCAAACTATATTTGAAAGAGGTATGGTGAAAAGTAAGTGGATGTGAAGTCAGTTTGAATCTTAGCTGTGTCACATAGACGTGACTTTAATTACAAATTTCTATGGAATTCTTCAGTAGAATACAAATAAATAAAATGAATAAGAAAGGACAAATGAGACCAGAAAAATCTGTGGGAATTTGAAACATTACTTAGCCATTTAGTAACACAGTTTTCTCCTCTGTAAAATAGAAATTATTACATTTATAGCACAGGGTTGGATAGAGGATAAGGTGAAAAGCACCCACCACTTGACCGTGGATATTATATTGACTATAATAACAATACAACTGTGGTTAAATCCTGCCATAAATGCAGATGATTCATTTGGCCTCCTGTATTTTATCTGAATATACCTATGTTTAAAAACATACTATCATTTCAAAATAAATGATAAATTTTCTCATTTATATTGCCATCCTTTCTAAAAATATATATTTGTAATCTCTGTGTTGTTACTTTTCTAGTTCTATATTCCAGATGGATTTTGGGATAATGTAGTATCAAACAACTTTGTAAAATCTTAGGCCTATTGTTTGAAATATTATACTGCCAAAAATAAATAAATTTAAAAAAAGAAATATACTACCATTCTTGCTATTGGTATTTGGATAGGATTTTAAAAATTCTTTCCCATTCAAAAAAGTTTATGAAAAATATGACTAACATGATATACCTCATTTTTCAAAGCACATCAGAATGTTCTTTCTCACTTAATTCATAAATAAGACTAATGGGTGTGGAGAAGTTATCTTTCATTGGGTCATGTATTTAGACAAATTTCAGTATAAATAACATTTTCTTACTCAGTGTTTGAACTTTGCCCTCTTTCTGGAAGTTGTAACTAAACGTTTCAAAAAAGGAGTCTTTTATGTATAATATGTTTGACATTAATTAGTTTCCATTCTTGGATACTGGTATGAAGATCATAAATTCGTTTTTTGGACTCAGGAGACCACACTTAATAAATGGAAGAATATTTAGAAAACAAAAACAAAAACAGCATTGCATGTAAAATGCATCTAAATAAGGGCCTATGATAAGAGAAAAAAAAATAGAAAGCAACCTTTCCTATGTAATAGATATACAGAATAAAGATTTAGAGAATGTCAAGTGATCTTATATTAGTAACATTCTTCCCATTTTTTGTCATTTTACTTTAATGTCTTTATTATGTATATTTTAAGTACTAATCACTTATATTTATGACCACATATGTAACCATCAAGAATGAATGACAACCACCTCTTAAAATTCACATTATTAAATAAAATGGAAAATGTTGGGGCACCTGGGTGGCTCAGTTGGTTAAGCGTCCAACTCTTGTTTTCTTGAAGTCATGATCTCAGGGTTGTGGAATCCAGCCCCGCTTCGGGCTCCACAGTCAGAATGGAGTCTGCTCCAGATTCTCTGTCTCCCTCTGCCCTGCCCCCTGCTCTCTCTCTCTCTCTCTCTCTCTCATATAAATAAAACCTTAAAAAATGGAAAATGTTAATGCCTGGTAGGGCACCCTTTTATATTTAGAAGATGCTTCACCTTTGGTAATGATGCTTAAAACAGTTCCATAAACAGTTACTTCCTCTTTTTTTTTTTTAAAGATTTTATTTTTTCATTTAAGAGAGAGGGAGAGAGCACAAGCAGGGGGAGCAGCAGGCAGAAGGAGAGGGAGGAGCAGGCTCCCCGCTGAGCAGGGAGCCTGATGCAGAACTCAATCCCAGGACCCTGGGATCATGACCTGAGCCGAAGGCAGACACTGAACTGACTGAGCCACCCAGGTACCCCCTTCCTCTTCTTGTATATTACATTTGTTTTTAAGTTTTTTCAACAGTCC